TCTTCTTTTTATTTGTAGGAAATAGTCTTTTACAAGGTCATTGATTATATATTACATGGAAAGGAAGACATTAAAGTCATCCCGTAAGTGCCCAGTTTCTGTATGCTACGTACCGACACAGAGTGTAGCTAAAATCAGGGTTGCCCATGATTTAAAGACATTCGTAGGGAGATATGCAAAGGACCGACAGAAGGCTGAGTAAGAGAGGGAGAATGTAGATTGGTGCTTCAGCTCACATTTCTGCAGGACAAAGATTTCCTCCAGGGCATTGGGATCCTGGCTTGCAAGTCAGGCTCCAAAAGTCACTGCAACCAGTGGTTCTGCTTAGATGCAGAAGTGAACTGCCTTGATCGCCTGCAGTTTCACTACTCTCCTTGCGAGGCTGAGGCATCGCTGCTCCTTGGTGTCTTCCCTGCGTCAGTGGGTGAGCCCATCCAGGCTGCCCTTGTGTTGGGGCACCCGCTGTCCCAGCCCTGCCCCTCACCACGCTGCTACCCCCCTGACCTCTCGTGGTTACTCCTTCTCCCCTTCCTGCCTTCCAGCTTGCTTTCTTCTCTCTTATCCTCTGGTCACTGACCCCATCTCAAGGCTACCTCTGGCCTTTCCTCCTCTCTCAACACCACATTGAGACTCCCTCTTTCTGAAAACCACCCTCTCTTCTTGCCACTGAATTTTTCAGAGGAGCCTTTGGCACCTTGGACAAATCTGACATAACGGGAGTTTTGCCCACTTCTAGTCACACTGCTTTGCATCGGTGTAAGTGCTGCAAGAAAGGCCCCCATTGCTTAGATATAGCGGTGTTCAAACGTTCAGGCTGGCAGACACTCTTAGCCAGGAGCTTTCTTTCGTCTTTCTCTGTGCTGAAGGTTTGAAATGCGGACCCCAGTCCCAGGCATGGCTTTTTCTTAAGTCTCTGCAGAGTTATTTTGTACTGAATCCTTGAAGGAAAAGTATTTACTTATGTGAAAAATTTTTGCTTGCACACATGGGTCCTTTGAAAGTAACAGGACTGTTTGTTTAGTAACTGAGGGTGACACATGTAAACCTGGACTGTACAATCAGCTGGATACATTTCAGCTCCATGATCACTCTTCAGTAAACGTATATCCTTAATTTCCCTTATGCGTTTTTCCTTCATTCAGAAATCCTACCCCGGATCACTGGGCACTAGTTACCGGACTGCCAACCTATGTGGCTGAAAGTGGATTTGTAAGTACTTAAGTTAGGCTTCATCAAGGTTTTCTGAGGTGAAATCATACTACTGCTGCTTTGTCATCAATTCAGTTTTTTGTTTTGGTATTTAAACTTCTCATCAACCATATTGTAAGACTTTTTATTTTGTGTGATCCCCTAGATTTGCAACATTATGAATGCTGCTGCAGATGAGATGTTTAACTTTCAGGTACTGTGAAAACTTCCAGTCCCATCAAGGATTCTACTTTTTTTGCAGAAACGTAATTTAGAGTCAATATTAGGCGTATAACTATTTCTTTAGCCTGTAGTCTTGAGGTAAAATGGGAGTGCTGATGTATTTAGAAAACACATTAAGTACATGGTGTCTTTCTGCTTGCTATTGCTTCAAGGAAGGTCCTCTAGATGAATCAGGATGGACTGTCAAAAACGTTCTCTCCATGCCAATAGTCAACAAAAAGGAAGAAATTGTTGGCGTTGTCACATTTTATAATAGAAAAGATGGGAAACCATTTGACGAACAGGACGAGACCCTCATGGAGGTATAGTTCCTTGCTGTGGCTGGAAGTAGTTCGTAAGGTTGAGAGAGGTCACTGTTCCTTATTGTACACCTGCAAAGAGTACCCCAGTATTTTACAGCTAAGTAAGTCTCTTTGTTGCTTATAGAGGTGTTATGCCTCAGCTTGAAAGTTTTGAAAGCAACTATATGAAATACTGGAGTTTTTCAGTCTTGGAAACCCAGCTATATTGGCATCATTTTGTTTCATCATTCTTGGATTGGACACCTCACCATGAGCAGCCACTGTGTACTAACATGACTATTCTGACCTGCGTTCACATACGTGACAGCTGGCTCACACAGGCTGGGCAACTCTCTCAAGAAATTACACAGGAATCATCTGTGTAGCTAAGATACAAAGGGTGGGCAGCTGTTGAATCTACCAACAGCAGCTGTAATTAAGGGCTTAGAAATGCTTCTATGCTAGTTTCAATCCAATAGAGGCATTCAGTTTTTGACACCTGTTATCAATCGGAACGTTTCCTGAAATAAACTTTTCTTATCAAACAAAAAGACTGCAGGAAAAAAAAATCAGTTTGAATTGACTGCTGGACAGCAAACAAGTTGAGAGCAAACACAAGGTGTGAGTAAACATATGTGAAAGGTGATGGGACCACCTTGCTCTCCCTTGAGATGAAGGTTCCTGACCTGCTGTCACCATTGTAACACCAGCCTTTCCACAGGCATGGAGACACTTGCAACAACACAGAAATAGCTTTCCATGTGCTGAACTGGACAGAGGATCCTTGAGCTTCCAGAGCATGGATGCTCTGGAGGCCTAGGCAGGTTCAAACAGCTGGTGAGCTGCTCTGCTGAGGAGCAAGTAGCAGTTGGGAGCAAATATATGGTTGCTTATTGCTAGATTTGTGACCAAAGTGGACCTTGTGTTTTTCTAAAAATGTATCATGCATTGTTTGTCATATTTCTGTCTTTGAGGAACAGATATTTTGGTTATTTCACTGTGTCCTTCTTTTCCCCTCACCGAGTCCTTGACACAGTTCCTGGGTTGGTCTGTACTCAACACAGACACATATGACAAGATGAACAAGCTGGAGAACCGGAAGGACATTGCCCAGGATATGGTGCTCTACCATGTGAAATGTGACAAGGATGAAATCCAGGAAATTCTGGTAATGCCTTGCCTCGTGCAGCTCACATTCAAGTGCACTGGCCTGGCCCGTGACTTACGGCACAGACACAGCTCTCCCATCCCACAGAAATGCTTCCAGCTGCCGCGGTGTGGAGGCAACACCTGAGGCCCCAGCTACCACACAGCAGCAGAACAAGTCTTTGTTTTGACTCTGTGGTCTGCCCTCCACCTTGGCACGCTGACACGCTGTGTCCTTTCTAATTTCCTCAGTGAAGCTGGCCCTGGAGGTGGGTTCATGCAGGACCTACTCAGGGCAGGGCTGTAGGGGTGGAAGAGGAGCTGATTTATTCCCCAAAGCCTTCTTAGTGCAGAGGTTGTGGAGTTAGAGGACCCAGATGGCTCTAGGGGGACATTTGTAAGTGGGGGAAACATGAACCAAAATCAAGGAGAACATTTTACCAGGACAAATGTGTTGAAAGAGCAGAAATAGAAGTAAGGTCCAGGAAGAAAACACAATTTGCATATGAGAGCTGCCCTGGATTGCCCCAAAGCTGCACAGTGCGAAGTCCAGTGGGGTTTGGCTGTCCGTTTAACACATCCATGCTCTTTACAGCCAACACGAGAAAAGCTGGGGAAGGAGCCAAGTGAGTGTGAGGAAGAGGAGCTGGCAAGCATCCTGGTAAGAGCAATGTACTGCTGGAATGGAGAGCCCTGGCAAACAAATATTGCCTGGGTGGATGCAGGGAAGAGTTCCCACTATTGGTACACTGGTACACATCGACAGGGCACCTGGTGAAGGGTGAAGGCAAAGCATACCCTGCCCTCCCCTGCTGTCCGAGTTCGAGGTTATTGTTATCAGATGGCAGCAAATGCCTTCCCCAGCTCCTGGGGAGTACCTGCTCTCTGACACTTTATCTCAAGGGGTTCAAAGTCCATCTGGAACCACATCAGCCACCTTGACTTGTCACACATTTTTGTTCTCCAGAGTAAATATGGAGGGCTGTAAGTCTTCTCCTGTAAGACCTGTCAAGATTGGAGTCTCCAAACTGTACCAAATTAACAAGAAAAGTGCTTAACAGAAAACAAGCTATATTCCTCGCACTTCACCAAAAATGCCCTCCCTCTTCCCCCTCTTGTCATTAAAAGCTGCATTTCAGTCTATTTACGTGTGGTATTCTAAAAGGAAAAATTCCCAGCAGTATCAGACTGATAAATTTTTATTAAGCAAAATCCATGCCAGGGACTTTTAGGGATGGCATAAGTAGCACAGCAGCAAACTGTCCCACCTCTCTTACAGAAGGAAGAACTGCCGGGGCCCACCAAGTTCGAAATCTATGAGTTCAGGTTCTCTGATTTTGACTGCACTGAGCTAGAGCTGGTCAAGTGTGGCATTCAGATGTACTATGAGCTCGGCGTGGTGAAAAAGTTCCAGATCCCACAGGAGGTAAGATCTGGCAACTCCCAGGGACGCCCGTCTTGGATGGCCAGCAGGCTCGCTGTGTGGTTGAGGTCCCGTGCGTACCCTGCGGAGCTGAAGGAGCGACTAGAGCTCTGGGTTCACGGGGGCTTGCAGGGAGAAGGGTGTGCATCCTGAGCCCCCTCGCCCCGCTGAGGGCAGCAAACCCCTCTCAAAGCCCCTGGTAGCTACATGTGGGTTTGGAGCGTGGAGCTGGCCTTTTCTGCCCTGCACTGCCTGCTACAGGTGTGGGTTTACTCTTGGGTCTATATAGGTGAGGGCTAGACCATGCAAAAAATTGCTTGCTTTTTCTGTGTCTAATGCCACTCACAGCCACAGTATAAAAGCACAGTTTCCATGTGTAACACGGGGCAACGCATACTTGTACGCGTGTTTCGTTTGCTACAGTATGTACCCTGTAACTTTCAGCCAACACACGCTGAAACCCATGCTGGCAGGTCCCCCTGCTTTTCTCCACCCTGCAAACACAAACGTGCCTTCACATGGTGCGGTTGGTGGAGTAGGGAAGGGCAACCTCCTGACTGCTGGCGGCAGGAGAGGTGGGACCCTGTGGAAACAAGGACCCCATAGCCCCTGACGTGCAAGTTCACGGCTTTTGACACAGTTCAAGCCCCTGTAGCGACTGTGAAACTGGCATTTCAGCAGCCCTGCTGCTCCCGTTGGACTTCTCAGCGCATCATGTGAGGTTTGTTCCCATCTAGTGGGACCTGCAGGTAACCGCAGGAAGAGTTTTCACCCTGGAAAGGGAGAGTGGGAAATAGGAGGGAGGTGAAGGGCTCTGAATGGGAATTACTTGTGTGCTTCTCAGTTATAACGTGTCAATGTCAAAAAGTATTCAAAATATCTACTCTGGAACAACTAACCCCCGATACAGGTGCGAGGCAATGAAGAATGAGTGCCTTTCAAAAGCAGTCATTCTTCGTTGCCACTCTGAGCTGTTGAGATTTTAAGAAATTAATACTCATCCATGATTAATTTGCTCTCTAATGAGAAACCCTATATAGCTACAAGAGGTAGTACATGTGGAGAAGTAGAATGAAGAGGAAAAAAACAGTTTGTTATTTAATGCCCTATATTGTAATTGTTTAGGTGATAAAAACACCACCCATCTCTACGTCTACGGAGCCATATCTCTTGAAGAGAGATATCAGTATTAGTAAGTCACAAGACATGGGAGGGACAAATCTTATGAGTGACGACATAGAGAAATATGGAAATTGAATAAATTCACAAACAGTAGCATGAAATCTCCTTCACTCTAGACATTGCTGTTTCTTGTTCCCTGGCACACCCTCCCACCCCTCCGCCAGCATCACTGTCTTTTTTTTCTTAAAAAAAAAAAAAAAAGAAAAAGAGAAAGATATTAGAAAGCAGAGAGCTATATTTTAGTGTCTCCTTTAACTCTCCACTAGGCTCTACTATAAGGACACCATCAGGGAAGCCTGATGATATCACAGCTTCTGATTCCTTTCTGGGGCCACCTCTGTCGAGGGGTCTGAACCTCATCCATGACTTCTGTATGTGTTTTTTTATTGCAAGAGCAACTAGCAGCAGCTTCGTCACACAAACTAACATGCTCTTCCCCAATTTGCAGGTTCTGGTAAGGTTTGTGTACTCTGTCAGCAAAGGCTACCGGAAGATAACTTACCACAACTGGCGTCATGGCTTCAACGTGGCACAGACCATGTTCACACTCCTGATGGTAAGGTAACACCACTCCAGTTAATTTTGTGGCACGGCTTTATTTATAGGAGGTCTTCTGTTGTGCCCTGCAGATATGCAAGGTTCCCTTTGAATCCTGGTGTAGGATAAGAGTTTGTCACTCCTGGCACAGGTCCTGCTAAATGAGGTTTCCATTTTCCTTAAGTGACAGTCCTTGTATTACACTTAAAGCTGTGGTCAGTACTTCCTATTGAATGGAGTGCTTCAATTCTTATTGGTACAGATGTGTATAGTGTTAAACAACCTCCAGATGAAAACATTCTGCAGGGTAGGAGAGAGAAACTACAGGACTTCCCTTCTTCCAATAGTTTCTGACAGTAAGAGCCAGACTGAAGTTAGCTGGCTGGGATGGAGACAACCTCATGCTCTCCATTTCCAGGCAGGACAGGTGCAGGCGTAAGTCTGTTGCTAGTGTTAACATAGCAAGTGCCATTTCTCACAAGGTCTCAGGGCAACAGGTGCCCCAGCAAGGAAAACAGGTGTCAGACTGCTGCTCCGCAGCAGGTATGGACCAGCACCAGGAGCCAGTGCAGACGGTATGGCCCGCACAGCTGGCAGCAGAATTACGCCTACCACCCCTGGACGGTGCTTTGGGTGATTCAGCTTGAAGACCCCATTGCCCAGAAGGATGCAGAGCCCTTTCGCAAAGTACTTTGTGTCCAGTGACTGGAAGGGTGCTTCTGAGGACACGGGTGTCCCTAGGGCACAAGGCTGCTATAGCAGCAGGTAGCCAAGATCACAGGTGGGCATTGAACACATATGCATGACATGCCTGCCCACCTGAGTCTGAAACGTTTCATTTCCAGTTGCTTCCCTATTTTAATCTAAGTGTACTGTATATTGCATTTAGCTTCGCAAGTATTTTCAGTTCTCCTGGACTGTTTCAACGAGGAGATCCCCAGCACAGAGCAGTCACAGCTCAGTACCTTTTCCTGTAAGAAATACTAACAGAAAACATGCAAATTCTCACCCTCCAGACTGGCAAACTGAAGCGTTACTACACAGACCTTGAGGCCCTTGCAATGGTAACTGCTGCTCTGTGCCACGATATTGACCACAGGGGAACCAACAACCTTTACCAAATGAAGTAAGCACTTTCCTACAACTTCAAACCATTTACTGTTGCTCCTGCGTGGAGTGGGATCAGGCTGCGATCACTCCAAACTCCAGTACAGCTCTGTTTTATAAACAGGGGTGACAACCTTCTTTTTGCAAATAACCTTGTTTTTCAGCTTGCTACAGCACTTGGGCTTATGCTTTGGCCAGTGAGGAAACTGAAATTTTGCAGTGCCCTCTGGGACTTTCTTTACCTCCTAGCAAATCTCTTTTGGTTAAAGCAACACTCTACATTACCGTTACAGGGTGGAACAAATGCAATGCAGGCATTTAGTAGCCCAGGCATCATAGGAGACTCAGGGTGCCACCAGGAGAATCCTGGACATAAGAAGCCTACTTTTTGCTGGAAGGTATCTATGAAGAAAGTGCCATGCATGGCACTGCCCTCACCACCTGCAAAAACAAAGCACCTATGAGTATGAGGGTGCAGGTCTCAGTAGGTAGTTACTCCCTACAGAAGAACAGTTGCATGATTTCATTCACTAGTCAAGCTTCTGGTGCTCACTTGAGGTAGTGTCAGATCACAGCTCTTCTGCAATGCTTGCTGTCTATACTGTCTTACTGTTTTCTGGAGCTTTAGAAAAATGTAAGTGAAGCTGGCTGGTGTTTTGGATACAAGAGAGTCTTGCTTTTCAGCTAGGAAACTGCCCAAGGACTGATGTTTTTTCTGTTCCTATTACTAGATATCATCATGTAGTTATTCAGGAATGAAGCAAGCTTACTATTCTGAGTAATAACAGTCCAGTCATAAATAACATTTTGGGTGAAATTTGTAGTTGGAAAACTGTGTCTTGTAGTTGGAAGACTATTATACAGCATCCAAATAGTTATAAGCATTGTCACAAAAGTCTTTTACTAAACTGAAGTAATTAGCTATTAAAAATATTACTCTTAAGCCTTCTAAAATGAGTTGAACTTGTGTGTGTGACAAAATTAAACATAGAACAGGACACTTTTTTTTTTTTAAGTGCTGCACTAACATGTTTAATTTTTCCTTTATGCAACCAGATCTCAAAATCCTTTAGCTAAACTTCATGGATCCTCGATTTTAGAGAGACATCACTTGGAATTTGGAAAATTCTTGCTCTCTGAAGAGGTTGGTAATGAACTGTAGTGTAAGGCTATGACTTTTAGGCAAGTTTTTCATCAACAACAGAGCTGTCAGCTTAGCACAAGACCTTTCTCTGGTTTGGATACCTAAGGAACTGCCGCTGCCTCACTCCCCAATTACTCTATGCTCACCCAGGACCAAAACGCTAAGTTTCCTAAATGTGTGACTTGGTTTCTTCAGAAGCCATATCATTATCACCATAGGTATATGTTAAATACGGGATTGTCCTCCTGTAGCACCTCTGACACGGTCAAGGCTGACACATTCTCCCAGCTAAATTTTTGTTTCAAGCAAATTTGCACTGGTGCCAGGGGACAGGGTTTGGGCACATGCTGTGTAAAAATCTTCAGGACACTGACCCTGTTCAGTGAACAAAAGGGGAAACTACGCACCAACATACAGTGAATGGGGCTCACAACACTTGCATCTTAGGGAAGCAAGCTGAAGCTATTAAAAAAAAAAAAAAGCAAGTGCATTTGAGAAAGGGAGGTGGCCAGGAACTCGTAACACCACAGTGCTTTGATTTTGCAGCTCCCTTTCCTTTGCTTTTCAGTCGCTGAATATATGTCAGAACCTCAACCGCAGACAGCATGAGCACATGATTCATCTGATGGAAATAGCCATTATAGCAACAGACCTGGCACTCTACTTCAAGTAAGTTGGTCACATACACGGTATGTGAAGGGAAGAAAGCAGCTGGTAATTTACAAGGCAAAATGTGATGCTTTGCTCTGAGAGCCCCCCATGCAGCAACCCTCTTCACAGACACTGCCTCTGGGAGGCCACCTTTAATACTGACATCAGAGTTCTTGGGCAGAACTCAAATAGTTCAAAAGATTTTTGAACTTTTACTCATTAGATCACATACATGACTTTTTAACTGTCTATTTCCAACCAGGCAGTGCTATATGTTCCCCTAATGGAAAGAGATGTCTGATTTTTTTTTACCTGGCACTTCAACACTAAAAATACTCATAAATGGCGAATGGCCTGGCCAGGGCTACATTAACTTTTCTGGGAGAGCAGCACAATCCAAATAACAAGTGGTCCATTGTACGTAAATTTCCAGTTCATATATTATTTCTCATCCAAAAGCCAAAAAAGCCAAACACGTTGGAGCAGCATGTGCTGGCTTCCTGGGACAGAAGGTTGGAATTCAACAACGTATGACTTCCTAATTAGCAAGGAGCTTTCAAAACCTGCTTTCAAAATACAGTGCCGAGACCAGAGACCGCTTCTGTGTTTTGCACTGAAGAATGATTATGCAAAATATAAACAGTCCACAAAAGTGGACTATGAGGGAGGGTGCAACACCCAGTCCTCATACTCTGGAGGCAGGGTGGCTATATGGGAGCAGATACCAGCACCTCCTCACCAGGTGGGAAAAAGCCAGTCTTTGCCCTCCTTGGTCCATGGTTTGCAAACGAAGGCTTGGTTGAGATCAGACCCAGGCTAAATGATACAGCCAGAACATGTACACGAGTTGCTTTGTGGATGTGACTTAAATGTCTTCTCTGCTAGCATTGAAATGGCAGATTTTTCCAGATTTCATGCCAGTCAAAACATGGGAGTGTTGTATATAAACCCCTACTCAGAATTTGCTACATATACTTAGGTATATAAATAAGGTTAACAAGGTCAGACTAAGTATATAAAGCCAAGTAGCTTTACAAATACTCCAGCCAGTTCTAGGTTTCCACAGTTTGCTTTACATTTGGGGAAAAGGCCTTCTTGTGTGGCCAACAGAGATGGAAGCATTTCTCAGTTGACATAACTTGCAGTAGCTCATACTTTCAAGTTCCTGCTCATGTCCGACCACTATACTTATTTTTAACGCATTTACAATAGTTTCCCCTATTTAAGAGAAGCAGGTGATGGTGCTTTGTTTTGTTAGGAGCTTCCTTGAAGACCTAAATGCCAGGACCGCAATTACTGGAAACCCTTCTGGAAGGGTTATCAGTACCAGGATCAGACATCTGTTTTTAACACATTTGTTTCCTTGTTTTGAGCTTTTCCTTTTTCTTTGCCCCCTCAAAGAAAGAGAACAATGTTTCAAAAGATTGTCGACGAGTCCAAGACATATGACAGCACGACTGCCTGGACTGAATACCTGTCTCTGGAGACAACAAAGAAAGAGGTTGTCATGTGAGTAATTGGCTCTGGAAAGGTTTGCGATGCAGTCACCTGGTGAGAGCTCCAGATGCCTTGCACTGCACTTAGCAAAAAATCAGCATGTGGTACATTGCTGTCCACTCAAATCTGATCTTCTGGGGAAGCAGGGAAAAAAACAGGAAAAAAAGGGTTGAAGTGGTTCTTCATCCAGATAAGTGACTGGTTTTGGAGTGTCCTTCTGGTCATATGCTCCTAACGAAATGCAGGATCCCTTCTGGCCATATACTCCTACCAGACCCCCCTGTAGGCCGCAAGCAGGGACAGTCTGCAATGGCAGATCTACAGGAATCCAATCCATTAGCTGTTCTTCCCAGTGGCAAGCAATCATCTGAGTTGCACAGTGCTGTTGTTGTGACCAGACAGGCACTTTGCGGGACTCCTCACTGCAGTCTGCACTGCTACAGCTCCAAGAGGGAGCCAAAGATACCACTCCAAAGTCAAGAAGTTCAGCCCAGCAATGACTAAAGCAGCAAACATCCTAGTTCCAGAAGCAAACAGTTTCCTAGCATAAATGCTTTTTAATCAAGAGAAATCCTTGATGAGTGTCCTAGTCAGAGCCAAGGCTGTTACAGCAACCCATCTTTCTTTATCTATCACTTCAGCAGGGACCAGGGGATACTTGACACAGTATTGGGGCATAAGCATCTTGAGCCTGCAAGAGGTAGGGTGCAGGCTGTAGAGAAGAAACTAATTTCTTTCCTGTTTTTAGGGCCATGATGATGACCGCCTGTGATTTGTCAGCAATCACAAAGCCTTGGGAAGTCCAGAGTAAGGTCAGGTGCTTGATATACTGTTAGATTTCTCTATCTTATGCTACAAAAAGTAATGCATTTTCTTAATCTGCCTAGGAGCTGAGTCAGTCTCCTATCAAAACTACCAAAAGGACTTCAGAGTAACTACGGTTTTGATGGATAAACCAATCATTAAGATTGTGGTTGTGAATTCCATAGAAAATTCCTGTTTATCAAAAAAGAAAAGAAAAAACCCCAAGTATTTAGCTTCTTGGGTTACAGTGAGGTTTTTTGCACCTAACATATAGGCTGGGTTTTTTTACAGCAATACCTGCTGTTTGTTCAGTTGTTTGTTTTCCTTTTGGAGTTCTTTCTTGTACTTGAGCAATAGCTAAGTGAGAAACATTAAAATTTAAAGGACGATAAAAGAAATAAACCCCACCTTCCTGTTCAGCATGGAGAAAGGACAACTGAGCAAATCATAATAGGCAGCCACCACTGTGACCAAGAGGCAAATCCTTGAGGGGGACACATTGGAAACCTTTCTTAATAGATGAGCAGTGGACTAATGAGGTCCCATGCAACAAGACTGTTGAGCTGTCACTGCACAGGTGCAAGCTCATTGCCACTGCTGTCCTTCCCAGCAGAAAGGCTGGGGCTGCGGTTGGACACGAAGCGACAGGGGGGCTAGAAGTGAGGTTTGCTTCATGGTGGAGACCTGAAGTACATCAAGTTATAAAGCCCAAGTCAGTGCTAACTTTTCTTTTTCCCTCCTTGACAATGTAGGTAGCACTCCTGGTAGCAGCTGAGTTCTGGGAGCAAGGAGACTTAGAAATAAGTGTCCTTCAGCAACAGCCTATTGTAAGTACCGCGCGAGAGCCAGACAATTCAGTTCAGATAGTGAGTCTCAGCAGAGACTTGCTACAAGCAATGCTGCTCTCAGAATGCTTTGAGTCTTCCTGAAATCACCATGCCTGCCAAAATCCATTGGAAAAGTGGGTACTCAGCTAGGGAAGACCCTCTGTGAGAGAGCCTCTTGTCCAGCTCTCCGTAGAGTTAGATAAGTCCCAGTGGCTGTGAACCAGCAAGGATTGACTGTCCCCCTGGAGACTTTGTGCTGGTCCCTTACAAAAAAAAAAAGAAAATTAAATACCTACGTCATAGAGGAAAGCAGAGTTTCTAATAAAGAGAAAAAATACAAACACAAACTTCGCAGAGTCCAGAAATTATTTCTGGTAAATGGAAGTGCATTAAAGCAGTGTTTCTTAACATATTTTTTTCTGCTATAAGAACAAATACTTTAATTTGGCATTGAAGGAGCCAAGAGTCATTCCTTGATCCAGCCTCCACCTGTGTGGTTTGGGTTTTCTTTAAGTAGACAGTAAGCAACAAGGCCTTATATGAATATAATTTCATGTTCAGTTATGTTTTAGAGAATTGAAAACCTCTTCAGCACCTTATAATATGAACCTTTTCTCAGGTATCTGATCAAGAGGCGCAAGGGAAAAACTCTCTGTCCTCCTCCCCATCCGTAGACACTGAAAGAGCTGTCTAAAATTTCTGCTAAAATGGCAAAGGAAGTGAGCCCACTTCACTGCTCTGTGGTGGAGGAAGGGGGCTGTGATGGACAGCCTTTATGGATGTCACGGCAGAACTGCCAGGCTGCCACAACAAGGCAGTTTTGCAGAGAAAACAGAGGTGTGCTGTTCAGTGAAGTGGTCTCATAAATCACGGTGAACTTATGTCCTCCCACAGCCCATGATGGACCGGAGGAAAGCTGCTGAGCTTCCGAAGCTTCAAGTGGGTTTCATTGACTTTGTGTGCACATTTGTCTATAAGGTAAGCAAAGCGCACCCTTGCACACCCCATCTTTCTCAGTAGGGGTTCAAATCCCAGGTGAGTGAGTCCCGGTGCAGCAACACCACTCATGGGGAGAGGGATAGGTAAAGGAGGCAACCGCTGCCCCTCCCCAGAGCATTGCAGCATGGTCCCTCTTTGTGCCTGCTGTTAATGCTTTCCCTGCACGAGCCAGCCTGGGAGGCAAGGTGTCAGGGTCCATCCTGGGGTATGATGGACAAGCACTGCCTCTGCACTGTGTTGCACTGACAGGTATGTTTTGATTAGGAATTTTCCCGTTTCCATGAGGAAATTCAGCCTATGCTTGATGGGCTGCTGAACAACAGAAATGAGTGGAAGACTCGTGCTGATGAGTATGATGCAAAAATGAAAGCTCTGGAGGAAGAGAAGAAAAAAGAGGAAGAGAAGATGGCTGCAAAGAAAGGTCAGAAACAATACTTAGATTTTTATTCCTAACTCAAATACATACATATGCAATACTGTTGCAGATCTGCGGCAAGCTTTGCAGACATGGCAGAGTTAGATGCCCAGAACAAGTTTCCTCAATCTTGCTCCACTGGCAAGGTTGAAGACCCCTTGTCTTCAAACCTGACATCATGACAGGCTGTCAAGAAAGCCACCTGCTCAAATGCCCAGGAGCTAGTACCTGAGAAACTAGTGAGACTACATTCAGCACAAGCGCCCATGCAACTCTGGACAGCAGAAAGTCCTCTGCAGTGCACATCTGTCCCTAGAAAAGAGCAGGGAGACATCCCTTTGTATACAGGGGCTGTGGCCAATGTGCTGTCCTATAGATCATGAAACAGAAGGAGTTAAGAAAAGCTAACACACTCCTAGGATGAATTACCATTCATTCCATTTTTAGCCCAGATTAAGTACTACCTAGAAGCAAACAGTAGTAGTAGTAGTAGTACCTACCAGCAATTTCTTTTGGTCAAATCCTTTTTTTCTTCTGTGGGCTCAGCATTGAAATTCATCAGCTGCAGTGGATGTGGGATGAAAGCTTGATTGATAGCCTGAGGATTTGTTTGACTCTCAGAAAGGTGGACGCAGAAGGCTCTTCTGGCCTCTCCCAGGTGTCTGAGCAAACATCCGTCAGACCTGGGTGCCTCCACACCACAGAGATTGCATCTGCAGTCTCCTTTTGTTCCAAACTGGACCAAAATTCCAACAGCCTGTGGGCTGAACATTCCTCAAATGACACAGTTTAGAAATTATTAGAGTTGTCTAGATGTCTTGTCTCAGTTTAATTCATAGTAATTAACTTAAAATATCAAAAGTAAGTGATTTAACTATGATTTGGAAAATTTCTGAAGAATTATTTCCTGACTAATTAATCGATATTTAAGTGAGGAAGGTTTCTACTAACTCTGAAACACTCCTTCAGTGTTAAGCAGCCTTACACGTACAATTACTTTGCACAGCAGACAGCTTCAGATATGGGTACTATAAGTGTGATCTACATTGATCACTGGATAACTTAAAAGTGCTAAAAAACTCCTGTAATGACTGAGAAGGACATTTATGACTGTACTTCTAATTCTGTGTTTCTTTTTACATGGCAGATGGAATAACCTGTAACGGAGGAACAGCTCCAGCTTCCAAAACCTGTAGCATACTTTAGACCTATTATCAATGCAATACATGCCACCCAAAATGACAATGACCATGCTTTTTTTAAAAAAAAAAAGAGTATCATGGCATACAAATACATTCCTGATTGGATTTCTCTGCTACTTTAATTAGGCTTATGACCAACCAGGGAAGGGCTAGATCTTGTTTGCCTTAATTGCATCTCTTCCTGATGGTGAGGAGCCAGTTCTGTCCTGTCTCTTGTTCCATTTAATGCACCTGATGTCAGACAGCTTATGGCAGATCAGAACAACATTTGGCCCAATAAATCAGGTTGCATGAATATGGAAGAGCATTTCTCCTGCACTGAAACACTTCTTACCCCAAAGCTGATGGGCCAATTGAATTCATATCCTGGTCCACACAACCCCCTGTGATTGACAATGTATGCAACCAGAGACCATAGTGTAGGAAAACTGAAGAAGAGCCAAATTTGTCACATCTAAGCCTATATCTGCTACGATACCAGAAAGAAATCTGTGGGTAGGGATAAAGCTGACCATAGTAAACCTTTGAACTGCTCTAAAAAGTTACGATTCTATGTAAATCCAAGAAACACTCACAGAGATAATCGTTCTGCACTCACTTTAAGATTTTGGATAGGCTGCTGCTTTAAAGCATGGAGCCATTTGTGCAACACCCAGTAGGTGCCATCTTCACGAGCAGGATCCACGCTAACCACACTAACCACCCGCTAACCAAGGCTTCGCTCTGTGACATATGATCGTAAGAAGACAGTGTTGTCATTACCCATTACAGTTCTACTTACAGTTACCCAAGCAACCTGAATTGTGACATCTCCTAAATTTGTTCTGTTTTGCCTCATAATGCCAATGTTATTTAATGCAGTTCTCTTCTGATCAGTACCGACCCTCCTTCCTTTTCTTCTCCCGTTCTGAGACGTCTGGTTTTTAGATTCCTCTCCAGACTTTGAAAGAATGATGACTTGTACTTTTTTGTTTCAGGTAAAAGTTAGTTTTCATGTTAACTCATGCAACTACATTAGAACATTCAATTACACTCTTGTAGCAGTAGAGACACCCTTCTGTGCTCCTTTCTCTCTCTCTCTCTCTCTTTCTTTTTTAAAGTGTTTGGACATATGTTTTGCTGGGGATTTTCTTCTTCTTCTGTTACTCCTGCTACCTTCAGTGCTTTTATCCCTTCAGTATCTTGTTTTGCATTACAAAAATACTGCAAGTAAAAGTAAAACTAGAACTGTGGTGGTACCTGGTGATCATTTATCCATGACTCAGTGTAGTAAGCAAGATATAATACTTTATAACTGTGCAGCAATTCTGTAAGCAGCAAGTTGTCTTTCAGAAAAATACAGAAACCTGTCTGCTTGCATGAAAGCTCAACATACCACTAGTAATGACTTCACGCTGTATGTCTCAGTTTCATTAAGAACCAGGTAGGGAGCTTTCATCATACAGCATACAAAGTGAAATAAGTAATTTTTTTCAGTGGGAAAAATACCACAAAGTTATTGAGTGGTCAGCAGTGGGCTTTTAAAGGTCACCATAAGCCACTGTACATTTAAATGCTGAGAAAAGCTCTTTATGTCGTGAGACATTTTCCAGGAAATAAAGCCAGAAGGCGAATCTTCCTGCCCCCTGTGCCCAACGTGAGGGGCACACAGGGACACCCAGGGTGGGGTGCCAGTGGAGGAGGCTGTTTTGCAAGGATGGACCATTGCCATGCGAGCAGAAGGGTCTCTGAGGCTCCCTTCTGCAACAGTGGTGCTGGGGCTGCCCGGGAGCCCCGCTGCAGTGGGGACCTCACACGTGTGTGCCGCAGGCAGCTGTGTCCCGCCGGTGGGGATGTGGCAAACCTCCCTGCTGTCTCCCCACCAGCTCCTGTGTCCCCCTCCTGCCGCTCCTCTGTTTGGTCGTGGCACCCCAGGCAGAGCACACAGCTCTGCTGCCCATGGGCATTTTGTTGGAGCATTTCTGTAGGTCCATGGTTGCGTGCCCGCGATGCTCTGCAGCTGACTGCCTCTCATGTCGCTGTGGGAAGCCACATGCAGCAATCAGAGGGCAATAAGAGAAACAGCAAGCCAAGGCCTTTCACTTTCCTTTTATTTTCCCCTTGCGCTATATCTGTTTCCGATAGGATACAGTCTGTAGGTAAAACTTTTTCCCTGCAGCTTAATCTGAGGGGCTGCAGAGTTCTTCCCTGTCTTCTGCACAGAAGTTGCATCCTGGCTGAACAGTCATTGGTAACTTCTGCTTTGAGGGGAAAGACCTGTGACGGGAGGCAGAAGTTATCCTTGCAGGTCCACAGCCAAGCAGCATGTCTGCACTGGTGGTGCTGAGAGGGGGTGCAGGGTGCGGTGAAAGGACCAGCAAAACAACACACAGCTGCAGTCTGAGATTATCCAACAGTAAAGTGCAGGGTAGCAGTTGTCATTCATCCACAGTGCCCTGACAGGTCCCGACCCCTCGCCGGCTCATCCAGGGAAAGCATTAATGGCGCAGTGCAATGCCCCAGAGAGGGGCAGCTGGTGGGAAGAAACCATTCCCTCCCCACACCTGAGGAGACACTGTGATAAGATGCTTCATCTGCTGCTCCTGCTGTCTGACACACAGGTCATGTCCAGCCACATCGGGTACAGCCCTGAGGTCCAGGCACCCTGCCCTTCCCTTCTGCCCCTCACTGTGCCTCTCATTCCCACCGTCTACCACACGCTGAGTGTCTGAGGGGAAAACTGACTTCTTCATACTACGCAGGACAGGTGATGAAACGTTCTGAGACGTCTGGTTTTTAGATTCCTCTCCAGACTTTGAAAGAATGATGACTTGTACTTTTTTGGTTTTGTTCTGTTTTTAAATGGTACCATCTAACGACATAGCCACTTTGCCAAAAGATTGGGACCACTGTCCTTTCTGGTCAGCAATCCCTTACTAACAAATGTTTCTACATCTTGTTGTACCTTCACAACCACACCACTTGCAATTTGCTTCCCACTGGAGGTATTAGCCAGTTAGAGGCAGGTGAAAACCTGGCGGAGTTTCTACCCACAGTGCTGCTCCTTGGCAGCTGGGAGCTGGCTGCCCAGACTTACTGGGCATGGAGAAGGGAAGGGCCAAGAAACAGATTTTTCCAGCATTTTCCCAGGCCTGAGAGAAAAACGATGTCATTGCAACGCAACTTCAGGAGAAGCCTCCTGACCAATCAACTCGCTGTTGAGCGCTGTAGGGTCATTTAACTCTGCTTCTGGCATATTTGCCTATACCCCAGGGAAGTGTTTCCACCTCTGGCTTGATGCAGTTCTCATGTCCAGTGGGAGAGAGGAGGGGGCCTGTTTTTGTAAGTGCCTCACTGGAGCAGGCAATGCATACAGACCTCCATTCTTGCTTTTGAAGGCAGGGGAGGAGGGAAACAAATACCCCTGTGGGACTGGCAGGGGAGGTTTCTCAGAGGGGAGCTCTGGGGTGGAGAGTAAATTTCCCCCCCATGCAGGAGAAGGGGCTTGCCCGAGTGGGGAGCTGCCAAAGGATTTTTAATGCTGCGGCTCGGCCATCGTCTGCTGTCCCCAATGGAAGGGGTAGGAGAAGCTGACTCGAGACAGGACCTCTTTGCTCTGCTGCTGAAAAAGAGTATGTGGGTGCCCTTCAGCTGTTCCATCTGCTGGAGCCTGCTGCTGCCGCTGCCAGTGGGTTGTGAGAGAAGGTGCCTGACCTGGCTCTGACAAAGATGTGGGAGCACATACGAGGTCTCTGCTGCTGGCAGAGCCGTGAGGGTTGCAGCTCCTGCAGAGAGGGAGGGAAAAACTCTCCCTGCCAGGTAGAGCGGGGACTGTGGTCCCGTCTTCAGCCACCTCTCGTGGATCTGGGAGAAGCGCTCACTGTCTTTTCCCAGCTGGCCACAGTCTGACTCCAGCTAAGGCCGGGAAGTGCTGCTCCCCTCCCAGGGAGGCAGGACAGGAACAACTCATCCTCCACTCAGCTTTTCTAAGGATGAGATAGTACTGGACACCATTGGTGGGGTATGGATCCCAGCTCCACCCTCCAGGCAGATAGGTTGCATGTCTTGGCACTCAACAGAGTGGCTTTGTCCTTCCAGCAGCTCCAGATCCTGTTTAAGAAAACCTCGTGTGAGCCCAGAGAGTACTGGACCCAAGCAAGATTTTATTACTGTCTGGGCTGAATGTGGCTTGCATCATCTATCACAAATGCTTGCAAGAGAAAGACCTTTTTTCTCTGTACCTCTTCCTCCACTCCTTCCACAAAACCTTAAGGTGGGGAACGGGGAAGATTAGGAAAAACATTCAATAGAAAGACACTCCCTCTCTAGCAGCAGCAGAGCACTGAGGAGTCAGACAAACCTGGTTCCAGCAGACGTAAAGGCGGCTGCAGTGTGTTCCGGACTACAGAGCGAACGTGCGGGATCTTCTCTCTCATACCCTTTGAAAGGAAAAGCATTTTTTTATTGCTTCCTTCCTCACCTCATCTTTCCATTCTTGGACAACTGGTGTGAGGTTGACTTTCTGCTTCAGTTTTTACCTCTTTCCAAGAGTCACCTTTCGACAAAGTTATCTGCCTTCTCCCTGCTTTCTTCATCCCTTGGCACCTTACAGTTCTGTAATGCCACCTGTGGTCGGATGCTCTGTCTTTCCTGCTTTCTCCTCTGCACCGTTCAACACGTTGTGGTTGCTGTTACTCCCTGCTGGGGGCTGCAGTAGCCTCAGGCTCAAATAACACAGCTCTTTCTCCAATTATCTCAAAATCCATTGCCAAACACGGCTTTCATGAAGTTTGCAAATATTTGGCTTGGTGTGCAATTATGTGGCCAAGAATTGTTCTCACTTATTTCTCAGCGACAGCAGATACTTATCAAAGGCTTATTTACCACATCCACCTCATTTTTTCCTCTTACCTCTAGCAGTCTGGAAAAGAATTTATGCCCATTCTTTCTGCAGCAGTCTTTACATGTATCTGCAGTCTATTCTCGCATTCACCCCTTTCTCCAGAGGCAATTCCATCAGCTTTC